CTAGTGAAAACTGTGCACCAGTGAGCGTGTCCATAAGAACTGCGGTGGACAATCAACAAAAGCTTTTAGTCACTGCAAAATGGAAAAGAGGGGGAAAAATGTTGAATCCACGGGACGCCTAAGTATTACTCGCAGCTGATCACCTTGCCTCCAAATCTGACAGAACTACAAGATAACGACATAAAAGCAGAAATTAGGTTATTAGTATGAAGAAACTCGTAGCCCCAATGATCCTTATATCTTAATAAACGGTAATTCAAAGACTTTAATCAGATGTACGGCAAGAAAAAAAATTACGAGTTTTAAACACAGAAATGCCACACACCTAGCGTCTTATAGGTTTCAGAACTACTAGACATGTAGATGACATTAATATTTATAATAACATGACAATAATTCCAGGTAAATCCTTGAGAACTAAAAAAAGATAAAGGAAAAAATTGTTTGCAATTCATAGTAGTTATTATAACTAAATAAACTGGGAGAATATTTCAGCAACATTTTGGAAATACATTATTCTTCTCTAAATTCGCCATTTTTAGAAAGACCAATTTAAGGACATAGTTGTGCCAGAAGAATGCCAAGTTTTGACATCCCCTGTTTACCAATGCAGTTGCAGAAATTTTTTTCAAGCGTTTGTTGCATCGAGTAACAAAAAACAATGAAGTACCTTTGGTGAACATGGAAGATTAAAAGATGCAGGCTTGAAATAGTAGGAAACGAGGAAATCCAAAACTTACCCGGCCGAGTAGTCACCATCATTCTTTTATGGAACAGATTTTTCCAAGAACTCCAGAACTGTGCTCCAATATCGATCACCACCAGACAACCATGTATCCATATGCATGCCATTTGGGAATTCCACAAATGAACATTGCTGATTGTGTGCAGCTGCTTTAGCATATATCATCTGCATGTGGGACGGTGGGACCATTTCATCTTGCAGTCCAGAGAGGAAAAGAATTGGTTGTTTGATCTGCAATTCAAAACACGCTTGTTAGCTTAAAAGATTAAAAACATGTCTGGCTATGCTTAAAAGCTGTACATGCGGCCCAAAAAAAGCTACTCTTCTTGACGCAAGGTTAAAAATGTTACAAATCAATAATGCCAAAGTCTGTCAGCAGAAATAAGTACAATTTTTATCTGAACAGACTACTTTTAACCAGTTTCATCTAGTAATCGTGCCTCTTGAACCTAGGAACCACATTTTTTCCAAAACATACATTACTTGAAAGTTGATTGTGAATGCAGAAGAGAGTAGATGAAACAAAGGGTAATACCTATCAGAATTATTGCAACGATGTAACATAAATCAATATCTCCACCAGATACCTCTGCTGCATCTTCTTAATAAAACTTCAATAATTGATACTAATAGCATCGCATACCATAAAAGGCTCATCATATGCTATGCTGTATGTATTGTTAGGTACCAAACCTATAACATTTAATTGAGGAAGGCGGGCATTTACAGTTTATAGCCTGATGATGATATCATAGCAGTAAAAATAATAATAATAATAATAATGATGATGATGATGAACCCTTTAGCATATGGAAAAAATAAAATGCAGACATGCTCAAAACATACTTTTATGAAGCATCGGCGTAAAAATAGTATAGATTCAGAATCAGACTTCTGTCAATAGTAATCTCACCTCACCAACGACATCAATGGTATTCCATGGAGAACGAACCAGAAAATTCAGAACTCCGGGACCCTTTGAGCCACTTTTCCTAATAAACAACTTAAGAAAGGGTAATAGAACGCCTGCCATATCAAGAATAGAAGTAAAAGTGTTCTCCAGTATTATTGCAGCCACCTGCAATAAGGATACACCAAGGTTCGTACAAGTCAAAGATTGGCATACCTCATATTTAAACTAAGAATTAGATTAAACCAAATAAACAAAGAGGACTTCCCAAGAGAAGTACAGAAAAATAAAATCTTGAATGAAAGGTGCAAAATGATGAAAAAGGACATGGGCACAAATAATCCATATGCAAAACAAACAACAAAGAGCAGTACAATAATATTATTCAGCTGGAACATGCAGTACATAAAATGCACCAGGTGACAATTATCAAAACAGTTATAGCATAAAACCCATTTAGAATATACAAAATACTATTTCTCCTTACATTTTTCAATCAATATCCAACTTAATCAATTTCTTGTCCATAAAATTAAGCAACTTTCTGATTCATCGTCATCATAATCCATGTTTTGCAAGCTTGTTATTGCTTTTCAATTCATGTTTCCAGCTACTACTATAAAGATAAATAGCAATAAGACCCAAAAAATTTACAGGAAAAAGTACCCTCAATACAAGGAAACAATTAAAATCCATTTATAATATACATCAAGCAGTATAAATAGCCTTAAATTAAAGCTTTGAGAAATTCACCCAATAATTTTGACGACAACCTAACTTCTATGTCCAAGTCATTATATCATACATATTGTCCACTTTAGGTGGACATCTATCCACTTATCCCTCACGAATTTTTATCTTATCCCCCCAGAATTCGAACTCAAGACCTCTACCTAATTAGAGACTCAAGTCGAATAGTACCAATTAACTTAAATTGAATCCTGATACCAATTGTCTTTAGACAGAGATCTTGATTTCAAATCATGAGGACGCGATAAAGAGCCTTGAATGAGTAATTGGGCAAATGCCCACCCAAAACGAACAGTATATATGATATAACAGATTGGATATAAAAATCAGGTTGTTACAAACAACGCCGGTTTTTTTCTAACGACCTGGTATCTATGCTCAAGCCATTCTATCATACGTACTATCCGTCTTGGTATCAAGATTCAACTTAAATATTTAATTAGACAGAGGTCTTGGGTTCAATCCAAGGACACGATAGAAAGCGTGAGGGGGTATATGGGACAAATTCTCACTCAAAACGGACAGTACGTATGATATAACGGCTTGGGTATAGAATCTCAATCGTTACAAATTCAACCTTCACACAGCTAACCCCCCCACCACACCAAGAAAACAATCAAAGAAAGAAAATGGCAACCGTTTAATGTTAACGTGAATAACGCCATCATATATAATCTAAGAGAAGTTGCTTCTTAAGAATCCTTTCAACCAAAAGATGTTATATTGGAAGGTAAATCGGCCATGCTTCATTTTTGAAGGGGATTTTCAATAGGGACGTTAAAAGACTGTACTTGAACAAGGATAGAATAGGAATCGGAATATTAAACTAGATTTTATCATCCTAGACACCAATACCACCGATATTCTTTACATAATGAGTGTTCACTTCAAGGATCCCCAGTCCCCACCCGGCCCAAACAAGAGATGAAAATCTCCCAATCCGTACAGACTTTAAAGCTACTCTCATGGAAATTATCAGGAAGATGCTACGCATAAACTTTCAATAAACCCAAGACAACTGAATCAACAAAAAAGGAACTTCCATAAAAGCAAACCCAGGAATCAGGATTCATTACCTTGTCAGGATTGTTTTTGGTAAGCACAGCTCCAACAGCTCCCCCAAGTGACCTTCCAAAGACAACTATTCTTGACGGGTCAATATCTGTTCTCTGAACCAAATGATCCAGTGCAGCCTGCTCAAATGGAAGATGTCACTATTACAAAGTAGTGTGTTTAATTTATCCTCCATAGCAAATACGAACTTCGCACCCCAGACCCCAAAACAATATAAAGGAAGAGAAAGAAAATAATGATAGCACCCATTGGAAGAAGTTGAAATGCTATGTTAAGTAAAACACAGTGGCCAGAAACAAACCTGAGCATCCTTTGTAATACCATGTTGTGAGGGGAATCCATCACTCTCTCCATAACTGAGTACCACAAAATCAACAAAATAGATATTCAGTTAGATAAGTAGTCACCTAGTTAACAACACTATCAGATAAAACCATCCACCGAAGACAAAACTAAAACAACTTACCCTCTGTATGAAAGCATGAAAACATTGCATTGTAGTCTCTGCAACATTATACGAATCATTTCAAGACGATGGGCAATGTCTGTATTTAACTAGTAAAGGCCACAAACAAAGATATTGAACAAAATTCTAAAAACAATCTGCAGATGTAAAAAATGGAAAATAAGATTTCCAGTCTTCAGAAAACAAAAGGATACTTCCTGCATTTTCCTGGAAAAAGAGAATGGTAGGACCTGCAAACCCAATGACAACAGGTCTTAAGTGTAGTGAAACCCATTAAAACAGTTACCAATTGGCTTATGCAAACAACATTTTAAAGAAGAACAAGAAGCAGCAAAAAAAGGATATACTCGACGGCAGCTGTCATTTCCCTTTACGTATGTAAGTTTTTTCTTAAGAGGTCAACTTACAGTGACTATTGTATCATTGAACTACTCTCTCTATATTTCCTTTCCATGGTTGAATCAAATGTCAATGGTGTTTAATTCCTTTAAATTCATTGTTCCCCTAAATCCTAATCATATACGGCATAATACCACAGAAAACTTCACATGCTTATTATGGACCTTCACTCTTAAACTGCTTGCTTTTCCAAACACAACACCTTCTCGTAAGAATTAGGTCACCACCACCAAGTGACAACAATATACCAACCTCACATACAAGAGCATTACTTCTGTGGGTCTCACATTTTTCTCACGCTGCAATGATATGAAGTTTTAGACCTAATCTGTTATCTTGCCACCAAAAAAGAAAAGAAATGTAAAAGAATGAAACCAAGTCACCCAATTGACTAGCCCTCCAAGTATTCCCTACTGAACATACTCCCCCTTAAATCATCTCATCTCAGGCTAAGATGCAGTCTAATTGGGTCTTGGAGTTGGAATCAGAAAAAAAAAAAAAAAATCCCTTCAGATTCAAAATCATTTCTCCAGGATTCCACTCCCACACCAGTAATCATATTTTCCATCGAAGTCAATAAGCCAAGTCCCAACTCCACAAAATCACCCATCCAAATGAAACCAAATTATAACTAACCCTTTAATACAAAACCCTAAATTTCAATCATCGATCAAACACACCTTGATCACACATACAATTACACACACATCCAACATGTATAAACACAGTTAAATTCATATTTACAACCTCGACATTCGGGTAATATCTTGATGAACCAGGCATGGAGGCGGACGCCGTCGGAGGATCTGAGCCACACATCCTCGTAGAGGAGGCGGAGGCGAGCAGGGGTGATGGGATAGGACTTTGTTAAACCGGGCAACACCGGCACGTACACCAACTTCTCCTGGAATGCCACCAGCAAAGCCATCCCCGCCACTACTATTCCACCCACCCCATACAGCAACACGCTCACGTACGACACCATCCCCTTTGTCGCCGGTTGAAAATCACTTCCTCTCTATATATAAACTTGTATGTATACGTAGCACGTAGAGATTCGAACTTTATAGTGCCAAAAGGGAATCGCAGGCACTGGAAAGTGGAAACAAGATGGCTGTGAAATTGTGCCAGCTTTCATTTCACACTTCAATCCATGGTGGAATGTGTAGGGGTTTAAACGACGACGTTCGGAACAGAATGCATTCGGTTAAAATATTGAATTACTCAGCCTCTTACGGTATTAACACTGATCTTTCTTTCTTACCCTATTAGACAGATAGTTACCATATTCAAATCGGTCGTTGAAATATTAGGGAAATTTGCACTTTTATTCCGTAATCTTTACAAAATGTAACAAATTTATCCTCGATATTTTTCTAGGATAGTTCATTCCAACCTTGTAATTATATAGTAAAACTCGTCATTCCCTCCATTTTGATTGTAGGACGATGGACCTTGCATTTGCATTAAATGAACAAAATAAAAGAAATTAGTAAAACAATAAAAATAAGACAAAAAATTATAAATGGAATCTCGTAACTTTTCAAAAAATACAAATAAATCGCACTTAAAAAACTCGTCATTCCCTCCATTTTGATCATCGGATGATGGATCTTGCATTTGCATTAAAGGAACAAAATAAAAGAAAGTAGTAAAACAGCAAAAATAAGACAGAGAAATTATAAATGGAATCTCGTAACTTTTCAAAAAGTAAAAATAAATCACACTTAAAAAAAATAGATATATATTGATACATGCAAAAAATAATAATAATAATCTCATCTCGTCTCGCCTTTTAGCCCTACTCGTTAGTTAAACACCAGTTTAAACTTTAATATCTTTTAGGACGTCGGCAATTTAATTAAGAGTGTGTGTGATAGATATTATCGAGTAAAAAATGTATTTTAAATAGTGATATGATGAAAAATAAGTGGTTAAAAAGTAAAGAAAAGTTATTGATGTGATGTAAAATATTATTTCATTTAAAAATGCATGGTTGAAAATGAATTTTGAAATAATGTAATTTGAAAAAATGTGTACCAAACAGGGGCTAAATTATTTGTGACAATGAACGCAAGAAAATTGTCTATCTTATGTAATTTTCATAACTTTAATGAAGCTACGTTTGACAAATGTGAATATTGTAGGTCAATCATTTAATGGAGACAATTATTATTATTTTTTTGAATATTTTGCTTGTCTATTTCACCTATAGTGATACGTGATTTTCATATTTTTTTATGGCAAATCGAAATATTAGATTAATAAAAATCACCACCCTGAAAGTGGTGTTTTAGCTGCTGGTAGGGTGGGTGAGTTGGTGGGTTTGATTGAGGAAGAAGAAATTTTTTTAATTGTTTTGTAAGTTACTGTAATTTAAGCAATTTTATTATTATTTGTATTTTTCAAAAGGTGTGGGATTCCATTTCTAGTTTTTTCATATTTTTGTGATCTTTCTGCTTTATTTATTTAAAGAGAAGGACAAATCCGTTAGTCAATGGTCAAAAGGAGGAAATGACGAGTTCAGCCACATAATTGAAAGGTTAGAGATGGATTATACAAAAAAAAAAAATGATGATTGTTGCGTTTGCAAAGATTGAGGATGAAAAATGCAAATTTACCAAAATATTAACAAAACTAGGATGTGCGGAATGAAATTCCTACTTCAAATGTTGCGTTTGATTACAAACATAGAATTTATATGGAAAGAAAATACATTTTATGCAATTCAATTACTTTATTTGTATGAAAATTATTAACTAAGGGTCCGTTTGATTGTAAATGTGTAAAATGGGTGGAAAGAAAATATTTTATATGGAATTGATTTGCATAAACATTATTTTACTAAGAATTGTAATTAATTGTGTTTGATTGGTATTATTTTCCACCTGAAAAATGTTGAAAGTTTGGCATCCGTTTGATTTCGTTTTTTATAGAAATTGTCCATTAAAGTGATAGTTTTTTCTACCATTAGATTTAGAATTTGTTCCAATTGCCAAATTTTTTTTTTACAAATAACTATCATACCGAATATCATTCGTTTGACTTTATTTTATATGGAAACTGTCAATAAAAACGATTTTTTTTACTATTGCGTTTAGACTTTTTTCCAATTGCAAATTTAAAAAAAAAGTTGGAAAATCTTTTACCACAAAAAAGGCAAGAAAATCAATTCCACAATTCCGAGGAAAAATGGTACGTGAAGCTCATCCATGGAAATAAATTTCCATGAAAAATTTTTGCCATCAAACAGCAAAAAAGTGAGAAAATAGAATTTCCATGTTCCATGGAAAATCAAAGTAATCAAACATGCCCTAAATGTATTTGATTAATTTAGTACTTGGTGGATGGATAAGGGAGATGTGATAGATGAAAGGGAAAAAATGAATTACCTAAAAAATACAAATCAATAAATCACCCATTTCTAAAGAAAATGTTTCCTTATTTTTGAGAAAAATATGATCACATGATCAAAAGTTGAAAAATAATTTTTCATGAAAACAATCATCAATCAAATACCACAAAATTATGAATTTTGATGGGAAAATGACATTTTTCATGCAAATAAAGTCAATCAAACACATTCTAACATGGTCAATTGGAATAGTTGGTCTTATGGATTATTTATTTATTTTTTTTCTCTAAATCCATTGAATTTAAATAAAATTTTGTGGAATAGATTTCTTAAAACTCAAATTATGTTAGTCACGTGTATAATGTATTCAAACTTGACTATTGAAATTATTTCACGTGTATAATGTATTCAAACTTCACTATTGAGATTATTTCACGGATTAAACTATTTTACCAGAAGAAATTTGACGCTCTAATTAACATCCTCTCACATTTGTAGTGGGGCACACACAGGACCCATATGAATTAAAAAGAGGAAAAAAAAATTCTCCCCTCCCCCTATTGTGAGGGATCTGGCAGGGAGGGTGTCAAACTCTCCCGGGCACGCCAGCATTATTCTTATTTCACATATGATTTTTAAATTTCGCGTGTAAGTTTTGTAAGTTTTCAAATATAAAATTGAGTACAGAGATTAACAAGATAAGAAATTAAAAGTTCAGTATTAATTTCATAATGAAATTTAGTTTGGTGAATGGTGACCAAAATATGGCACCCATAAATTGTGTTCCTGCCCTAAAATTTTTAATCCAAATGACAGCTAGATCGATATTAAATTGGATTAAATTAGTTTTTAAAAAATGGAAAAATCAATTAAATTTGCCACTTTTATCTTTTGTTAAATATATCAATTTTATAGACTCCATTAAGTAATTGATCTAGAAAATATTGGATCGTCAAGTTCTCATACAAGCAAGTACCGCCAACTAGATGTACCGATCAAATAACTAGAACAGCAACACAAGTTAGTGCAAAGCTAAGTGTTTGTTTGTTTGGGTGAGATTATTTTTAGTGAATATTTTTTCTTCCGCGATTTAGACAAAAATAGAATTGTGATGTTAGGATCTTGGGTAGAGACGGGTGATTGGATCTTCCACATCATTCCCACATAAGATTCGGACCCATTTTTTTCTGATCACTTCGAGAAAAAGATTCATTCTCTTGATAAAAAATAGGAGGTTGAACCAATAAAGATTTCTTCTTCGATTCATCATTGGCCTCATTCAAGAGAAATCGAAGAAGCCGTATAAGAGTTTTCTCAGGCCTGTTTATATGGTACCGAACTAAATTAAGGAATTCTATAACGACAATTCAAAATTCAAAATACTCAAAAAATTAGCCGAATAAATTGGGTTGGGAAGTAGTACTACTCCTAGACTTCCTGATATAAGACTCGATCCCAGAAGACAAATTGTTTCAAACACTGACAGAATCGAAAGCACCCATTCCAGATAGTTTCATTTTTATTTAAAGATCATTTCCTTCACAAGTACGTTCACCCACTACGCCTCCCCATATTGGGGTGCTCATTACTTCAACTAGTCCCCACGTCTTTCGAATGGATCTTTAAAAAGTATATATAAAAAAAGTTATGGTTCAACATGTAAAAGTATTTTATTTAAAGAGTGTGTAATTAAAAATACGTACGAGGAAAAATTATTTTCAATTAAGCAAATAAGTAGTTTTGGGAATTGAAATTAATGATTTTGTCTGCAACTGACTTTTTTATCCTATCACTATATAGTATGGAGTTTTCCTCTTTGGTGGTTTAAATTACAATTATAGAAACAGACTATTTTGGCAAAATCAAACGTCTAAATTGCATATAGATCATAGCAAATGCAAAATTGTAATGCACCATTAGAATTAGAAGGAACATAGAAATTTTCCATGTTGCCACTACCAATAATGATGCTCTTTCCCTCTCCTTCCGAGTAAAGGCAAAATACGAAAAGAATCCGTAAAACATTCTAGGATACAAAAGAATAGCCATAAAAGCTAAGACAGACGATCAACATCGAAAGGCTTAGGCTCAAGTAAGTCGAGGCGTAAACCTTGACAAATGATTCTCGAGTCGTAGGCTTCATCAAGGTGCTTAATGAAAGCCTTTTATGAAGCATACCTTGGGGCTTTGAGTAGCATCAATTATTAATAAACTTAAGACATTCAAAAACTGATCCAAGAAACAGACATGAAGATGTATATTCAAGATTCAAGAAAACAGATCACCAAACTGAAATCTATAATCTCTCATTTAGGTCCACCTTACATAAATTAATCTACTAGTCGAGTGTTTTTAGCACAAAACCTCTAAAACTGAAATGTCGGAGCCAAGGATGAATTGCCTCACTACTGGAAGCCTTGCACGTTATGACTTCTCACCGGACAATGGAAGCATAATGCCTATTTCCATAGTACACGAGGCCACTACTGCCTTGCATGGAAACGACCACATTGGGCTGGATACTCGAAAACATGCTGTCCGGCTGTGAGAAAACGACATCACTATTGCCGACCATTGTAGCTTCAGTTGGAGTTCCATTCTTATCAGCTTCAACATGAAGTGAGTCCACA